TTAAATCTGTGGTGTCTCCCAAGTTTTGTAGGAAGTCTGGTGCTGGCCTCATCTCCTGTTGTATGATTTTGGAGTACTTTTTGGTAAAATACACTCCCAGTTGAGAATCTTTACTACCTTTCTCATCCTTGCTTCTTTTCTCCAAGCTGAGTGGAAAGCCACAGCTCTCTGCTATTTCACTCTGGATGAGCAGACAGCATTTCCCACTCCATGGAGCTTCCTTTCTCTAGCATGTTTCGTTAGGGTTTATGCAGGAACTGAGTGCCTCCACTTCTCTGCAGAACCAACTGAGATGAAAATGCATATTTAAAGGAGTGAGAGTGGAGAATATACAGAATTCTTTTGCTCCAATACCTAACTAGCTATTATGTATTCAGTGGCATAGTCAAACTGTTTTGCATGCCTATAAAATCATAGAATCATAGAATCTTTGGGTTGGAAGGTACCTTTAAAGGTCATCTATCCCAACACCCCCGAAGTGAGCAGGGACATCTGCAACTAGATCAGGTTGCTCAGAGCCTCGTCCTGCCTGACCTGGAATGTTTCCAGGGATGGGGCATCTACCACCTCTCTGGAAAATCTGTGCCAGTGTTTCAACACCCTCATTGCAAAAAATTTCTTCCATCTATCTAGTCAAATTCTACCCTCTTTTAGTTTAAAACCATTACCCCTAGTCCCGTTGCAACAGGCCCTGCTAAAATGTTTGTCCCCATCTTTCTTGTAAGTCCCCTTTAATTACTGGAAGGCAGCAATAAGGTCTCCCTGGAGCCTTCTCTTCACCAGGCTGAACAACCCCAACTCTCTCAGCCTGCCCTCACAGCAGAGGTGTTCCACCCCTTTGAGCATTGTTGTGGCCTCCTCTGGACCCGCTCCAACAGGTCCATGTCTTCCCTGTGCTGAGGGCTCCAGAGCTGGACGCAGGACTCCAGGTGAGGTGTCACCTGAGTGTAGTACAGGGGCAGAATCAGTTTTTGAACACAGGCTAGAGCATCTTTCTTAATGATCTGCTAGATCACTGGTATTTCAATGAAGCTGTTCAAGACTACTAAATAACCTTGTACTTGAGCAGACTCAGAAAGACATCAAGTCTGGAAGGAATATTTTGAACTAACTTTTTGTCATTGATACCATTCTGTCTTATTCAAATAACAAGTAGCAAATCCTCACAGCTCAGTTTAGCCTTGCACTGAAAGAAAACATTACCAGTGCTTGTGCAAGTTGAAAACAATACTGCAACCAACAGAGGGCAATAAGAGGGGGAAAAAGCTGATTTTTTAAAAAATACCTTCTCTTCAGAGGTTTTTTACACAAACTGTTTTTTTTTTTATACATTCATGGAATAACTTTCTGGGATACTTAATTATTATGGTAGTATGTAAACACGCTAATAAAGATGCTTTTGTGCTATGTGCCATACAAAGAATGGAAAATGGTCTATGCTGCAAAGAACGGATGAGATCAAAAGGGGAAACACACAAGCATAAACAGAGAAATCAAAAGTAGCAAGTTATCTTGCATTTCTATGCTTGTAAATGATTATTTTTTCCACCTTTCAGGTGCCTTTTGCCCCTGTAGATTAGAATTAAAAGCGACTCAGACGCACTTTCTGTACTTTGGCTTTCTGGCATACTGCTACTCCATGAATAGCAAGGGGCATAGTCTTTTATATTTCTTTGAGGAATAGAGAGTACTGGAGTTCATCTAAATTCCATCCGTGTTAAGTCAGTATGACCTAGCTTAGTACAGAGCTGGGAATTAGGAGTCCAAGTTTCTTATTCTGTGTCTGCTTTACTGTGTGGCCTTTAGCAACTCCTGTTCTGCACTTCACTTTCCTTGCATCAAAGATGAAAATTTTATAATATTTTCTTAGCTCTCTGGGGTATCGTGAGGTTTCGTTTGCTCATACTGATAGAAAGCTTTGAACACAACATGCAAAATGCTATGGATTGATTTCTGATACAACTTGCTGCCAATGAGACTGACCTCACATTTGTTAACTTACTGGATTTGTTTTACCAGAAATAACGTTTATGTTCAGGTGCTTTCACCAAACAGGTCAGCACAGGAATGAGTATAGGCCTTGTCAAAGAGCATACGTGTCTGCCTAAATCTTGCACCTTTAGGCACTGACATCCTTGGCTGAAAACAATGCGCTTATCTGAGTCGAGTAGAATGTAGGACTGTTGAAACCATAGTGTAAGAACTAAGTAACCAAATTCTGAACTTTTAAAACAATATTTTATTTAACCTTTTCCTATTGATAAAAGAAATAAAAAGTACTGAAAACATTGCCTCTTAATATCAACTTTTGCCTAAATACAAGACAGGACCGTACTTTCAATATGAATTGCACTCAAGATGAAGAACAAGCCATAACTAAAAGCACAAATCTTCAAATTTATAGTGTTAAGAGTTAAAATTAATGCAAGTGAAATGGTGTTTGCATTTGTTTCTGCCAGCATTGCCTTTCCAACTGCAAACAACATTCCAGAGGGGCAGCAGTGTATTATCTTCCCTGTTAGGTGCTGCCTCTGCAACTGTAAGTTGTAACTGCAGTAATCCCGCGCACCAATAACAGTGATAAAACTCTGGATAGTTATATTGTAATTATCATGCAATGCTATAGAAATAATTAGTATGCAACGGAAATCACCCAAATGGGAAGAAAATACAATTAATATGACGTTTCCTTTAAGTTTTTGAGTTATAAGCCTTGCCTTTCAGATATCTGAGGCCACAGCTAAGAGAACCTGGAATTCTGTATTCAGGAAGAAAAGAATAGAAGAGATAGATACTGTGGGAGATTTTCTCCAAAAACAGTACAAGAACAGTGAAAACCTTTGCAGTTTTCAGTTACATTTATAAGAGCATATTAGATATACAGCAAAGATTAAATTTACGCAAGCTATAAAATCTGGAACCATGTCTGCATCATGTTAAAAGGTATGAATAACATCTATTGTGGCACAGCAGGGGTTTTAGATGAAACTTGGAAGCCTACACCCTAAAATCATAGTTGATAAAGTCACCTTTTCTTAGAGAAACTGAAGGCCACCTAGCCTCTCCCTCTCTCTTTGTCCTAATTTACACCTAAACGTCTAAACATAGCCCTCACGAAGAAGTGCTCTAATCTCAGCTCCTGCTAAAGCTCTAGTAAGGTCTTGAATGAACATTCCACCAATTTTGATCATTGCACTCTGACCACAAAGACACGATCCAGTCTGAAGAGTGTCTAGAGAACAGCAACAAGGATGGCTGCAGAGGTTCTGAAAATGACTGGGAGTAAAAGATGAAAAGTTCTGAAGTTGTACAGCCTGAAAAGAAAACTGAGGAAAGATGTAACAACCATCTTTACACATGTGAAGCATTGGTGCAGGGAAAAACTCTTCTTCATTCCTGCCTGTGTGCAGGACAAAAGAGTGATATAAATAGCAGCAAAACAAAAGTAGATTACACAAAATGTTATACTTAGAAATGTTTTGGGTTTTTTTAATAAGGAAGATAGTTGAACACCGCAACACAGTTAAGGGAGGCATGTTATCTTCAAATATAACAGATTTTAAAATGTAATCTTGCCAACAATGGTTTAGTGGTAGTCTTTCTGTAGTCGTGTTGGTCTAAAGACTTAAACAAGACAAAATCTGTGGAATGAAGTAATATATTTTATTAGATCAACTGATGCAGCTGGAAGATGGACACAAGCTTTCAGGCACACCATCCCTCTTAGGATCTAAAGAAGCATCTGATCTCAAGAGCTTATGTGCCTTAAAGTCTGTGTATTTTTTTCCAGCTGTTTTAGATAGTTTAAGAAGAGAATGACTTAACTCTATCTGATTCCATTTTAGATTTGGACAACCTCTTGAGGCCCCTTCTAACTACATTCTGTAGCATTCTGTGATCTGTTTAATGTATTTAAATAAAGCATAGTGCTATATCCTGACAGATTAAGGAGACTTTGAATCTTCATCCGGATTTGCATGATGAATGAATTATTGTTTACAGGAGAAAAACCTTTGATGTACAATGACTTGTACTGTTTTCTTACAAGAAGTATTGTGGTGTTTCTGGAAAATTTTGTGCATCTGTTTTTAAAGAGCTTTTGGTGACTGAATCTAAAACATTCAAAAGCTATTGATTGCTACAATCTCTCAGGGTTTTACTTCCAAAGTTATTCAAAACCTTATTTTTAGGATAGTTTCTCAGACTCGATTTTGGCATTTTTAATGTATTAGGTTATGAATTTAGTACAACCATGTTAAAGGACCAATTTGCCTCATTTATAAAAGCCTTTCAAATTAGAAAAAAAGGAGAAGCAAAGATATAAAACAAGCTTTAAAGGCACATCATGTAAAGTGTCTGCTACATGCTGCTTTTGATCACAGTAATCATCATAAAAAATGTATCACATTTAAAAAGGGTAGTCCTCAATACTGCAAAAATTACCTTTATTTACTTACCTCAAACCACAGTTACCCAGACAACTGTTACAGATCCTCTGCAGACACAATAGATATATCATGCCCAGCAAAATATTTCATAAAATTATTTTTGTCTTAGTGCAGTTTACAAGATTCCATGTGGTAGCAATTTGAATTAAGCATCACACGATTGTAAGAAAAAGATAAACTTTTACAAATGTAGATGTGTATTGCCATAGACGAGAGCCAATGGATTAAGATAGACATGAAGAAAGCTGTGTGAATATTTAGTGAAGATAAACTAGCAGGAAAATAAGATGCTTTATATGTCAGATTATTTCCCATGCTGTGGTCTGTGGAAAACTTATTCTTTGTGTACTATGATTCTTTCTACATGTACACTCTTGTTTCCACTCTAAAAGAAAACACATGGTTCTTACACTGAACTGCATATTCAAATATTCTGTGTTAAACAAAGGACACAAACATTTCCTTAATTCTCCAAAGCCAAGCGTTTTCTTGTCGATGCATTCCCAAAGTCATTTCCATCTCACTAACTTGTCTTTCCAAATTCAGTTTGCGTTGCAGTGTGGAAGAATCACCACATGCGGACCGTTACCAACTATTTCATAGTGAACCTTTCTCTGGCTGACATTCTGGTCACAATTACTTGTCTTCCAGCAACTTTAGTAGTGGACATCACAGAAACATGGTTCTTTGGGCAGCCCCTCTGCAAAGTGATTCCCTACTTACAGGTATTATTTTACTGTGTTTGTGTATACATGTTACGAAAAGGACAAAGAACAATAGCATCTTCCTAGCAGTGATGATCTGACGGAAGTCTATCCCTGCTACTGAAGTAGATATGTCAAGGTATATGCTGAGGATTAATGGACTGTTCCACTTGTGAATATGTTTATGCTTAATAAATATTTTTCTCGGCCCATCTGACTAATAGACTTGGGCAATACACTTTCTGGAAAATTTGTCTGATGCTCTTCATTTTTCGTGATCTTTTTTTAATGATTCAGAAGGGGTATAAAGCAATAAAAATGTCTGTACCTAGAATTACAGTCATTTATACTCTGTGTGTGGGGACCCAAACAGCCGCACAAGTGTCCAGGACAGAGAATAAAACTTCTGAAGGGAGATTGGGCTTTCATATGTGTTTAGTGACTTACTCTGCCTTCTTTTGAGATAGTCAAAGTTCACCGGGAGCTGATCAGATTGTCTGCCTTAAGCAATAATTTCCACCACTCATTTACCAGTGGACTTAATTAATTATGAGATCATTTGCATCAAAATGATTGACAAATACCTTTTCTAGGAATATTTGGTCAGATGAACTGATGGGGCATAATAGAATGACAAGTGCTTGGCCTTTCAGTCATTATAAATCAAAAGAGTTAAGCAGATCTCTGAATGTATACAGGTGATCAGCTCTATGCCTGCAGCACAATTTATATATATCGTACCTGCATGGCTGAAGAGCCACATTGTCAAGGGCAACAATTCTCCAGCAGGTATGTCCTCTACTCGATACAATCAAAATCACAAAATTTTTTTCAAAGCTTCCATTCTAGTGGAAGAAAATCTGAAGAGAAAGTGAAATGATCACCTAGTGTGCAGCGTGAAAGAGTAAAACCAAAGTGATAGGTTAGTTCGTATACTGAATAGAAGGTAAAATGACTTAGTCTGCCTTAGGCTGATTGTTGTTGGTGGTTGTTTTTTTTTCATGAGACCCTGCATTTCCATTGTTCCTGTGAAAACTGAAAAGGCAAAATGATGGTACTGGTATCCAAATATAACATAGAAAACAAACAAACAAAATTGTTCTACAAGAAAAAAGATCTAATTAGTCTGTAATGCTTTAAAAGTAGTTTTTCAGATAAAGTTTTTCAGATTCTTAGTTGCATAAATTTGCTCTTTCAGAGTCTGACCCTTCTACACCTACTCAATTTACGTAGCACCCTAATCTGTGAATTGTCCTGTTGATTCTTGTGGGACTACAGCAGATGAGGATATCTGTTGTAATTTTGTAAGAAGTAATTTTTAAAAGGAGTCTTTTTCTGTGAATAATTTCTATTTAATCATTACAATTAAAGAGCTAACTATGTTGAAATTAGAAATAATTTTTAAAACTCTGGGAAAAAATACAATAAATAACTTTTAAAGCTCTGAAAAAATTACATTTACATTCACATAGTATTTCCTTTTCTTTAGACAGTTTCAGTCTCTGTGTCTGTGCTAACACTCAGCTGCATTGCTTTGGATCGATGGTATGCAATTTGTCACCCTTTGATGTTTAAAAGCACAGCCAAGCGAGCAAGGAACAGCATTATAATTATCTGGATTGTGTCCTGCATCATAATGATTCCTCAGGCTATTGTTATGGAGTGCAGCAGTGTGTTCCCAGGATTAGCCAACAAAACCACCTTGTTCACAGTGTGTGATGAGCACTGGGGAGGTGAGTGTGTCATTGACCGTAAAGACTGAGTCTGTACTGCTGTCAAGTAATAAAAATATCAGGCCATATTAATATGCATTCAAGTTGTATAAAGATATCACAAAATGTTCTTAATTATATAAGCTTTCCTAGAACTACCTTTTTTCAAATACTGTGAAAATCTATTTTCTTTTGTATTGCTAAGACTTAAAAGTACATTTTAAACCAAGTTTAAATGAATGAGGCTGGCTTATGTTTTGACTGTGTTAATGTTTCCCAGAGGGCAGAAATGTTCCCACCCTCAAATGCTTATATAATTCTGTGATAGATGGACATTGCAGTTTTACAAAGACTTCAGTATTTAGCCTTAAGAAATAACCACAGCATTTCTGTTTACCCGATATATTGCTTTTGCTAATTGCTGATATTTGACTAGTCTTTATAGATATCTCCTGGGACTTCAATGCAAATTGCAAGTCATTACAGAATTTACAGAGATGTCATTGATATGGGGTAACGAATTAGTCTACAATTTGAAATTTGTCATGGACAAGATAATTTAAATTACTTTGTAAATGTAATCAGTTACAAATGATTCTATCCAAGAAGTGTGATTCTGCCTTTCCAGTTTAACTTTGAATCTAACTTGTTCTGTATTTGAATTTGGCTGTAAGAAGCCCTAAGTGTTGCCAGGGAGTAACTACTTTTATTTTGTCTCCGTTCACAGCAAGTGGTGTTAGCCACCCACCTGAATGGTTAAGACTCAACTCTGGTGGGCCTTGGCACAACTCCAATGCTAATAGAGCATATGAGTTACGTACTGTGACTCTGACACTGGATATAATGACCATCAGTAATACCATTATTCACACACAGGAAAATAAAGCCAACTTTGCCAAAACATATAACTAAAAGATGCCTGTTTAATAGCCTCGAGTCAGACTAAAACACAATCAGATTGTCTCCCAGAGCTGTCTCTGCAGAAGAAGATTACAGTCCTGTGAACAATTAAGATAAAATACGACTGGATCACCTGTACTTAATTATTGTGATAAATTAGTTTAAGCAGACTGAATTGCTAAGGGCTCTTCCATGTGCTGTTTTGGAAGTTTCTCCCCTGCTAACGGCCTCTGCAGGGCCACCAGGGGATTAATGAGAAGACATTGGCTGTCACATTCCCTGTTTTTTGTCTCCTTCATCCCAGTTAGTACTCTGGGACAAGGCAAGGGGGCAGAGATGACCATTAGCTAGCTGGCACTCACTGCAGACAAAGATGTCCTGAAAGCTTGTAGGTTAGAAGAAACCTCTGTTAAGCTATGAGTACTGTACTTGCTGTTTCACTGGAGAGGACACATCTGCTCTTTACTTCTAGCGTTCATCTGTGAACAATTATGTATCCCAGTCTGCTGCTGGATGCTGCTGTATTTATGTGACTATTTTCTTTCGCAGTGTTCACTCCAAGTACAACTTGTGTCCACTCATTTTGGCTGCAGAACTAATTTACCATGCCTTCAGTAGTTCAAGTGTAGATCTGCAGCAAAGATTCTTTTAATCAACCTAGGAAATGACCATTATGTAGTTAATTCATTATGGATTCAGGAGAGCATTTAATAGGGAACACAGTCTCAAAATTTTCAGATCTGCACTGGCCAATTTTGATTCCCAACAAGAAAATGCTGCTGTCAAACTACAGAGTCTGTAGTAGCCTTGGAACTATTTTAAAGAGAGCTCCTCATTCAGTGCTGTGCTGAAGTAGTTGCTGCCCACAGATAAGCCTGAGCTGAAGTGCCCATTATGCAAAAGAAAAAAACTCCCATGTCTTGGCAAGACTCTACTCCTATGGAGTGTATTTGTCCAAAATGAAATCTACTGATCTTCAGGTTATGCTGTGAGCCTTCACTTGGATGTTTGGAGAGGTAGAAAGGGGTATAATAAAGGCAAGTACTTGCACATAGAATTAAGTTCTTTTTCTGTGTGGCTTCTGAAATGAACTGCAAACACTCCAAAATGATTTTTTTTTAATTTATACTGAGCATGAAAGGCAAATAATTTTACATTAAAAATAAGTTAAAATTTGCTGAAATGGGAAGCTTTTCATTCCACTGAAAGATAATAATCCTATTTTTATCCGTCTGCCTTTTTAATGAATTTTTCTTCTAATGATAATGCACCATCATTGCTAGTTATTCTGCTGGTGCATTTCAGCTATCCATAAAAAATATCCTCTCCAGTTTCTAATAATACCTTATCGTAGTAACTTGAGAGAAGAACTTTTCTATGCATCAAGTTACAAGTAGGTTGCTCAAACCATGGAATTACTTAGTAAATGTAGAGTTGACCGTATATTATCAATGAGGATAAAATATAATACATATGTACCTTAACATTCCTTTCAGACTATGGACAATAGAGTGTCATTAGCTACAAATAATTTCCATTCGACTGAAAATGTCTGAGGACACTGAGTTCGGCCAAAGCATAGAAGATGCAGTTTTTCTACTGAAAACCAGTGTTTGAATCACAAAGGCCCCCAAAGAGAAGAACAAAAGAACAAAAGAATGGGTAACAGGGCAGCAGTTTATAAAGACGGGTGAGACTTCAGGCCAGAAGAAGGAATAGAGAGCCAACATTTTCAAAGAAAGTAGTTGCATTTTTTTGGACTTTGTTTTGCCTTTTTTGTCTATGGGAATATCGAGGGTCAAAGAAAGCTACATAGGAGGAGGGTGAAGAAGAAAGAAATTTAGGTTCCTACAAATAAGCTATATTTGCTTAGAGAAAGTGGGGATGTAGATACTGCACATCCTAAAGACACCCTGAGCAAATCCTATAGGAGAGTCAATTTAGAGGAAAGGGGTCATATTTGGGTGTCTACTGCCTTTTTTTAGAACTGCATATAGTTTGTGCTGTTTAAAATTAGGGTACGTCTGATTAAATCTTTGCAGAGCATCATGTACACTCTGTGTCCCAAGGATGTTAAACTGTAAATTGTCAAGGTTGGGACTGCAAAAAGGGGGTGTTTAATGACACTTTCCAAAGTGTTTTGGATGTCTATTCTAATTCTGGGAACTCAGGGCCACTGAAACATGAGGTGCTATGGAGGACTAACAGGAAGCCTTGTCCAGGAAAATGTCAGAGATGCCAAAGCAGGAGACAGCACTGTACCCTACTCAGACTTAGGTCCAGCTGCTGAAATCCATACAAGTCTGATGAGTGTCTGGAAGGAAGGTCTGATCAGCACTGTGACACTTGGGGTCCTTAACAGTGAACAAATAGTGGCCACCCTGACTCATAAGATTTCAAGCATGCTGTTGGAGACCTGCCAGTGACTGCAAATGGAGCAATAGTTCAGCCTAAACCAGGGCTCAATTTCTTTTTAATTGCTTCTGGCATTCCTGAATATAAAATTCATTGCCAATTCTAGGCTGAGGGTTTTTCATTTTGAGTACTGTCTAATAACAATATTTTATTTGGGAATGCAGAAGGATCCAACATGTGACCTATGCAGGCTCACTTAAGGAGCCAGTGTTGGACACAGTTCTATAATAGTCTGTAATTGCTATGTGCTGAATTTGATGATAAAGTGCCAAACTAAAAGAAACGTATATTAAAATGAGTTCACCATGTGTCCGAGTCAGCTAAATACATGCTCTTAGAGCTGTTCGCGAGAAGCATTAGCCAAAGTGCATTAGCCAACCCCTTTGCAAATGATAAAAAGAATGTGGAGATAATCCTTTCCCAAAACGACATGGTTGAATGGAAACAAAGGGAAGACTTTATGTTCCATTTCCTCGTAGACTACTCATAAAATAGTACAAAAACATACTGTCTTAATTCTGAAAAACAAATAGCTGGAAATTGCATTATTACATGAAGGTTTATCCATCGTGTTTATTGAAGCGTTCAGAATTTAAGGAAAAACTTCTGGGATATTTTAATGCAGAAAGAAGTTATAATATTGCTAATACTAAAATTATGCTTGGTATTGTCATGAATTCATAACTCAAGCATAATATATCAGGTTTGAAAACATAATTTTAGTATTAGCTAACTGTAAGTACTCTGACATAGGAACATAGACCATGTCATGTAGTCGAATTTTCTCTGTTCTGGGCACCCACTTCATAACATCCCTATTTATTAAGCTTTAATCTGAAAGTATACTCTTTTAGCTGCATTGCTTCTTCATATTGGTAACTCCAAACCTCATAGGTGTCTTCCTGAGACTAGGGAACCTGGGAACTCTCTACTGATGCTCAGCAAACTTGATAGTCTTGTTGGGTTTCCCTGTTCTTAGGGAAGCTGTCAAGAGTACCAATTTCATTATGCAGCTATGGCTTAAGGAAGTATTTCATTTGCTAGACATATCAGAACTTTTGAGTCTGGGTTGTTTTCAGTTTGTATACATATGTATACGTATACCTGTATGTATAGATGTATTTACACAAATATAATAAAATTCTGGCAAAAATCCAGAATCTGTAGTTTCAATCTTCTACTTCCTTGCTTCATTGAAATCAGTCTGGAACACAGTGTCAAGAAGGAAGCTTTAGAAAAGTTTTAAAATTTGTTTAATAACCCCTGCAGCAGACAGAAGGTGGCTTGTTTTAGCATACTGATCCTTCATCAGGTGGAGTAATCATACTGTATGGCTGATGATGAGTAGGAATGCCAATCTCACCCCAGTCCAAACCCCATGACCACCTGTTTGCTTTTTGTCCCCTCCTCTCTTGTCAATAAAACAGCAGCCAGTGATGTGAGAATCATTAATTTCTTCTTAAAGAGATGGTTACTCCAGCTAAGAATGATCTCCCCCTGTCCTGAAGCCCATTAAGTGACCATGGAAGGCAAAGACACTTTTCTCCTTTTCTGCTTGGCAGTAAGAGGTTCAGCAGTCCCAATCAGGCAGCTTATATATCACCATAGACTGATTGATGTTCTCATTCAAGGACCCTGGAACTCACTTACTTGATAAATGTACGGTATCCCAAACCAGCCCTTCCTCCTTCTTGCTGTTGTGATTGTCAAACAGCTTTAAAGCTTTTCTTTGGCTTGAGAAGCTAAACAGAGTCACGCTTCTTAGGGAAACGTTCTACAAAGGGCTTTGCCCTGAGTGGAGGAGGGACAGGTCTCCTTTGACGTTTAGCAGCTGGCACTTTCCAGGTGGCTAAACTTCAAAGGCAAGCGTTAGGATCTTCCTCCAACCTGGTTCCTCAGTTCTTTGTAGATAGCTAGGCTCATTTAATGTTTCACTTTACTTGGAATGCTGAATTTGAAGCCATAAACCCCAGATGGCCTTTTAAATATGTACCGACCTTCTACCTGAAAGGGGCCTGGCTGCCTGCAGAACATTGATGAGGCAGGTGGCACCTCCTTCTGAGCAGAAAGAATGTACTTTCAGCTCTGACCTCCCGTGATCCCAGCAAGTCACATTACTCCAGTTTCTCCTTAATCTCTCCACCCGTGAAGTATGCATGTCGGTATTTTCCTGTCTGACAGGGCTGCTGTGAGGCTGCATTTTCTGGAATGCAAAAATGAGTTTGAGATCATCAGTCAATATACAAGCCCAGGTTATCACCACTTATAAAAAACCTGCCCCAAATGGTCTGCCTCCCCCAGGGACATTGACAAGAGCTAGTAGCTGCAGCTGCTAGTTAAGAGTTGGTAAGTTGATTTGCTACAGGATCTTAGAGCAAGTAAGGAGCTAAATGCTGTTCATCTGAATTTTTTTAACCCTGATCCATAAAAGCTGTCAAATGTCAATGGCAACATCTCTGTTACCTTTGCTAGCAATGAGCATGGGCTGGATTTTGCTAAGCAAGTTTCTCTTTCTCTGTTACTGAAGTTTTTCTGACTGGTGAACCAGCTGGTGCTTTCAGGCCCAACACTGCGTGTGGTATTAGTCGAGTCTGGGTTTGAGGGTGAGCCTGGAGTTAAGACGACGGTGTACTCCTCCCTGCTGTGAGAATTATGGGCCAAGTCTTCGTACCTCCTTGTCTAATCAAAGTGTAAGGGATTCTCCTGGCATGCAAAGGGACCTCTTGTTTCATAGGGTCCACAATCTCAGCTACTTTAAGAAGCAGAAAATAAGTTTGACTCAGCAACATTTTGATCTCATGCAATTCTTTTTTTTTTTTTAATTATTAGAACTACAATCAATACAGAGTTTCAGTTACAGATCTTATCGTCCTGAAACATTCAGAAATTCTGGAAATTAACATAAACATTCCTTCTTTACTCTAGCCAAAATGCAGTGCTTAGGATTACCATGCAATCTAACTGCTCATGGAGTGCACAGTTTCTATTCTGCCTCATAACGTCTCTCTCCATAATGTTCATTCCTTTTCTGAGACCATCCATAAATGTTAAGTTGTAATTAGTATCAACATTTGGTAATACCAAACTACATTTTATGTTACAAAAGTGAAAGCAAGTTTTCCAGGCACCCACTGCACATTCTGCTATAATCTAATGATGAAGTATATGACACAACACTCTTAAAACACAGTGCACAGACAGATATTTGTCTCTAAGCAAGTAACATTCATAAGTTGTCTTTTGAAAGAGATACACAGGAAACTAGAACACAGTGGTAGCAAACTCATTATTGTTAAAGCTGAGTCAAAAATAATCTTGGCAATTTCCTAAGTTCAGAGCACTTAACTCTAAATTTATTTAATTAAGTCTATTTTTTACAAATGTAATCAGAATAATAAATCATTGAGTCTTAATCACGTTTATTCTGCCACCAAAAAGTGATTTAAAACATATCTCTCCCTCCTCCAATCAGCATCCTCTGTGCTCTCGTCTACATTCTCTATAGGTGAGAGACTGTGCAATTTACTCAGGGATACATAGTAACCTTTGCAGAATTAAAAATAAAGACAATTACACAATCTGTTAAATACGTCAAAGATGAGGTAGGTTGGATAATTAGTTAACTATTGTTAGATAATGAAATTTTCTATCTTTCACTGATTTAATAAAGAGCAAATCTTAAGACTTCATACCTAAAGCAATAATGTGATATGAAAGCAATAATATGATATGTGATGCTTGAGATAAAAGCACGTTTATAATAGCAACAGAATGTACATAGAATTGATTAAAAAAATCAATCCTGATCATAATATTATTGGATACATCTTTCCTTATAACCTATTACATTTGAAAAACACATGCATATCTATATGGATAATTTGGCTTTAAGTGATTTTGAAATGTATGTATATTTAAATGCACTTTTCCATTTGAATTCTCTTTCCAGCTGAGGTTTACCCCAAAATGTATCACACATGCTTTTTTCTGGTGACATACATGGCACCACTGTGTCTTATGGTGTTGGCCTATTTGCAAATATTTCGAAAGCTGTGGTGTCGCCAGGTAAGTCAGTTAACACTAGCTCTATTTGCTTGCTGTTGTGACTATATGCGGATTCCTATGCACAATCTTCTTCTCTATATGCTCCATGTTGTCACATGGATTTTTACATCCAGCACTGTTTCCAGGTTCAGAGGCACTGCTGGCTTACAGCCACCTTGGGTAGGCACTGAGATGCATTAAAAAAAGAAGGCAGTCAGGCTGAATGTAAACCCCTTCTTGCTCATGTCTATGAAGGGCTTAGAGGGAGAGAAAGAGAGAAAAAGGCAACAGAAAGATAGATTATAGGCAGGAGAAAGATCCCTCAGTATCTGAAATGTTTACCAAAATACCTTAGATGACCTTATTTATGCTGCTAAAATCTCCTGTAGGAGCCAAGAGTTAGGATTGACCTTTTCGTTTTGTTAGTAGTCTGTACAGTTTTTTATTTTTATTTTTCATTCTTCAAAGTCTCAGGTTCATAGCAGGTCCAATCTGAACAAAAGTTAGATTAGAACATCCAACTATCAGAACTGCGAGACTGGAATTGCCTGATGTGAAGCCGGCTGTTATCAGTAACTTTTGATGTGAATTACTGACAAATAATTGGCATGATTTCTAATGTGAACATCTGTTTTTTCAATCTAATTAAAAATACCAGAAAGGAAACAGAAGTACTAAACAAAAAACCCCAAGCAAGCAAGCACACAAAGAACATTTGAACTTAAGTGGCAATAATGATGTGAATTTTTTCAGGAAGGTTTTTCCCTCTCCAACAATTTGAAGTGGTGTCAGCTTGAGAATCATTTTCTGGGTGTGAACAATAATCTGTCATGCATCAGTTTAAGGTTCTCTCTGCTGTCTTCTGCTTTGTCTGGGATTTATCTATAGCTGTAGTCTTCTGCCACCCCCTGCCCTGTCATTCTGTAAAGGACAATAAACTCATCCCGTTGAAGACATGATGCAAGATATTCCCTCTCCTGCCCTGTCAAATGCCTGTAATAATGGCTGACATTTCCATCAGGATATGGCCATGAATCATTTCTCTCTCACCATTACGTCTGACACCATCCAAATTTGAGGCTGTCCTGGCCAGGGCATAATATCTGCCACAACAAGAACATTTTTTATGTGGTTCAAAATGATCCATCAGAGAAATCACAAGCAGACTTTAGATTTCTAAATATACATATGTTAAAAGTAAGAATTGAATCTTATACTGACAAAAAACATATCTCTTGCAAATAACTAAAATATAGGAAAAACCAAATACACTTTAAGGCATTTTGTTATCATCCATACATCATAATAGCAATTATTGTCACTTCTAATCAGATTAAATTAAAGCAGAGTTGCTCTTCACCTTGCTGTTTATCTTTAACTTATTATTTTTGCTTTTAATTTCTTACATTTATAAGGTTCAATAACAAGATAGTTCGAAAGTAAAATTTAACCTTTACAATTTGAGGGGACTTTTCACCAGAACAAAGGCTTTGCTCTGTTAGTTTTGAAATTAAGGTCAGTCTAACATAGCTCTAAGATGCTCTGCATTGCTGAATGAGTATCCGTCCTGTAGCACCCAATAACCTTATCACCATATGCCTTTTTAACCTTCTCTTCTGTACTTTCTTTACAATCTACCTAGTCTCTCAAACTGTTTGTTAATTATGTTAATGCAAAAAAATTGTTCTTAACCTGTATGTAGATTGAAAATGCTGGTTCAGATTCAGAGCAGATGTTGAATGACTGGAAACCAACTTGGTTTGTTGTTTTTTTTTTCCCCCCAATTGTATTAGCTGGCCGACTTCTTCTTCACAATATTTCTTCTCCCTATACATCTTGCATGCTGACAAGGTTAGGATGATCCTTTTTTTTTCCCAGTGGCAAAAAGACAAATAGTGCTACAGGCTCAGTGCTATCAATGACGCGAAATTACAGATGTCTCTTCCTAATATAGATGATATAATGTATATGTATAGATTATACATAGCACTATGTATAAGAGGCTGCACTAAGTGAAATTAAAAACACTGCACATCTATTATCAACCGTGACTTGGCTGCAGACATGAGGCATCTTTCTAAGTGCAACAGGTGTGCCGTAATCAGTCATGTAGAGCAAATGAATGCACTGCTCTAAATGTATTATTTGATAATACTTTCAATTAAGAAATCATGCTGTTTACCAGAACTTCAGTTAAATATAGTGATCCTATTGCAAGGTACAATAAGGCTTCCTGATGTACGTGATAGATAAAACACAGCAAACAGTAGATGCTTTCTACGCCTCACACTTTTTCTAATGGTTCTTTTTTAAAATGGTGTGTGTTGTGCATGTAAATTTTCAGATGACTAAAGGTCAGATAAGTTTACAAGCTATCCTTACCATACTTTGTGCAATAGCTCTTAAAATTACTAATAGTGTCTTTGAGGCAGATCTTTGAATTAATTATTCATCTTTGTAAAGACAAGAACAGTCATGCCACAAATGCCAGGGATTTGGGGTAATTTATTTTAATTATTGTCAAGGAAGTAGTGACTTAGAAGGCTATGTTCTCTTGGGGATTTTAAGTAGATTAAAAGTAACTTCTGAACAAATAAATAGGACTGGATGGATTTATGATGAAAGCATTGGTACATAATTTGTATTATCAAGTTCCATACTGTAGGCTTCGATTTACTGATGTACAAATGCATTGACACTAAAGCCCACTCATATTAATAACTAGGTACCCTACCCATTTTCATTTTGTCAGCTGAAATATACCCTTCCAATCTTTGCAATTTGTTATTACATTTGGAGAGATTTACTTTGGTTAGAAACCCCTTGATAATATGAGGGGATAGAGGAAAGGTCTGTACAACTGCAACTTTTAGCACCTGTTTGGACACCGCTGGTGGGCTTCTAGTGAATCATTGGAATTACACAAATTCTCCACAATTATCTCTATATGGATTCATTACTGAAAAGCATATCTATGCATTATGTTGGCATGCGTATACTTGTACATACATAATCATAGAATCACAGAATTGTTTATGTTGGAAAAGACCCTTAAGATCATTGAGTCCAACTGTAACGCTAACACTGCGAACTCCACCACTAAACCACGTCCTTAAGTGCCACATCTACATGTCTTTTAAATACCTCCAGGTATAGTGACTCCACCAATTCCCTGAACCCTTTCAGTGAAGAAGTTTTTCCTAATATCCAATCCAAACCTCCCCAGCACAGCTGGAGGCCATTTCCTCTCATCCTATCACTTGTAATTCACGTGTGTGTGTTTACATAAATGCGTATTTGTAAATGTTTCTGTATACACACACACTTCTGAAGTGTTACACTCCTTAGGTGGTACTGGTTCAGCTATGCATCTGGGCATGTATAGCTTTTTTTTTCTCCTGATAAAATTCTTGCTGTATTATTGGCTATTGATGCCACAGTAGCAAAGCCCAGGTGTATGCCGGGTAAAGACTGAGGAAAACAGGGCTCTTTACAAAGGTTCTCAATGCAAACTCCTGAAGATTTAGCAATTTAATGCATAGTACACTGAGACTGTACATTGTATACAGTCCTACCTTTGATCACCTCTTGCCATAAAAGACTGCTTAAATACCAGAAAAGACCCTTCTACCTGCACGCACAGGTACAAACCACGTACACAGTCATCTCTAACATTATTGTAGAAATAGCCATTCACAGTTTTGAGCCAAGATAATGTTTCTCTTCATCTAAATTGCATCTAGCTACCGTAGAAGCTGGTCACTGATTTCTTCAAGTGAATCTTTGGCATAATCAGGAGGGAGAGATTTGGCTGAATTTCTCTGCTTCCATCTCTCGTTCTTGCTACAATATGGTCACGCAGTATGACTGAAAAGGAAGGAAGAGCTTCGGCTTCAAAGTTAGAAGAACAGAATATAAAAGCACTCCTGATAAGCCAGAATCAGAACCTTAGAGAGTGTATTATCTCAGTAGTGCATGGCAAAGGCGTGTTGCAGTACTACACCCCACAGCTAAGTAGGGTAAATCCCTTGCAATAGGACAGACATGTCCAAGTATGAAAATTGTACTGCTGATTTCAGCTGAATGAGTGGGAACCCACAGTAGAAGTAAGTGCAAGGGGTTTTGTTATTTTTGCTTTATGTCCATAGAGACATTAGTAAAGAAATAAATGTTATAATGCATCCCCTGTTCTGCTTCATTGATTTCCTGTTCATTAGAACACAGCTTTGCCAAAATGTCCCAATAGTTGTAAATCAGTTTTGATGATGCACATAAACTCTAAATTAAGGGCTTGTCTGTGCAAGGAAGCTATTCACAAAAAAAAACCCCACCAAAACCCAACATTATAGCTTTTCTGGAACAATAATGAATGTGCATACTTTTATTTTAGACCAAGTATTCCCTTTATAGATTACTTTTTTCTGAAATAAACACCCAGAATTTCATTCTTTGCTTGTCAGTTCATGTGGATAAGCCCTAATTTTTAAAATGTTACAATAGATAATTTGAATTTTGCAATTACTTTTAAATATGAATTATTTTAGACTCATGAGACTAGTCACCCTGCAGACAATCGCACTATGCATAAATAAAACCATATTTCTACCCAAAAGTTTTTTAAATGTATAACACTGAAAACATTATTAATGTCATTGTAACAGAGCTCTCTGAGAAGGTCTTCCATCTGTAGTCTTTTACCTTTGGATGCAGACCAGTAATTTTGAAGAACTGAAGCAAAATTATTTTATTTTATTGGTTTATGTGAGGGCACAGAAAACAAAAACTGAGATTTTTTTTTAATAGCAAGGTGTTGCATCTACCTTTTGCAAGGTATCTTTGACTAATCTAATTCTTCTGACATCTTGGCACTCTTCCATGATTCCCTTCTATTAATCACTATACATACATTCAGTTTTGAAGAGCCTTGCAGGGACATCCACACTTCAGCTGTGATTTTTTTAGCTGCTTTCTGGTCATCTAGATTGCATATTTGGAAGTTTTATGGTACTTAAGACTGTGTACACTTTAAATCCTTGTTTTCCAATGCTGAAAAGCTGTTTAGTATCTTAAATTAGCGGCATATTAATGGGATGAACTACTCTGTCATACCAGAAAACATTTAATGTAGAACTTTACAGCAACGTAATTGCAGTAGTAGGGTTGGTAAATGTGATAGTCTGAAGAGACAAGCAAGGCAAGGTATTTGGGAAGTAAAGACAATTTTAATACATCAGTTGATATACTTGGATAAAACACTGGTCTATGCAGACCTTCAGGTGTGTCTGAAATCTGGTTTGTTCCTTCCAGCTACATCGATTAATTTAATAAAAAAGGATACTTCTCCCTACAAGATTACATTATGTATGTCAACATGTCTATTTTCCTTGTTACAGCTACCCACAGTGCTAGTTTTTCAAAGTGCCTCTTATTTTGTCATTTTTAGATTCCAGGAACTTCTTCTGTTGTTCAGAAAAAATGGAAGCCTCTGCAGTCCTCGGCACAGCCCCGAGGGCTGGGACAATCAACGAAGTCAAAGATTAGTGCTGTGGCAGCTGAAATAAAACAGATTCGTGCAAGAAGGAAAACAGCACGTATGCTAATGGTCGTCCTCCTGGTTTTTGCACTTTGCTATCTGCCAATTAGCATCCTCAATGTCTTGAAAAGGTAAAGTTTGTCCCAAAATATAAACAATTGGTAAAGCTTTCCATCCAAAACGAATCCCCTGTTACTAAATTCCTCTTATTCTGGCAGATACTTTTGAAGGAGAAGCTAACTTATTTCCTGATAAAGAAATTGAAAATAATCATACACTTGTAAGAAAAAAAAAATATCTGTAGTATTTAAACTAAAGGCCAGATTGTGAAACCCTTATTAGCAAGCTCTTCCTCATGAAAATGATCTAGCCTAGCTCCTCATTAAAACCTATCATTTATATGGAATTACAGCTTGCTTGCTGTAAATGCACCCATGGAAATGCATTTACCTAAAGCAGCAGCTGAAGGTTATCAGGAGAGTGTCATGTTGTGGCTTGGCCCTAAGGACTGTGAAATGCTGGGTTCAAACCCAGGTCCCATCATGTACAATTTTGAGACCTTAGGCTAACCCTTCAGCTTGCATATGAATCTTTGTTTTACTTATTTACCCTTTTCTCTTCATTGGAGACATAATTGTTTACACTCTGGTTTTTGTACGTACCTGACAGGTTAAGGCTTTGATATCTCATGAGACCTCTGGAATACCAATAAATAATGCATACAGCAGAAGACTTGAATATCCTAAAAATTAACCAGCCTTTTATTGATGCTTGAGGAACATTTTAGTTTTTAAGGAATAGTTTCAAGTTGGATATGAAGGCTTAAATACATCCCACTCAATTCTGGCACTTTCCTGAGGCCTAATTTAAGTACTTTTCAGGTCCCTTGGTAGTCCATGTGCAGAGAAAGAAGTATTTCCAGAAGGCAGTTTCAGGCCACCTATGATCTGAACGACAGAGGAACTACAGAGACTGCCTCGACTGCAATGGCAGAGTAGGCCCATAGTTAGATTTTCACTTAAATGAAAATGTTAGTAGAAGTTATGTGTAAGGAATCTGGACAAGCGTGTTTCTCTGAAGGACAGAAGTTGCTACTGCAGCCTCAGGTTTTGTGCCAGTTCAGTGCCTTTCCAATTCCAGAGCCCCTCTCTGTTGGAGACTAGACCTAGAGCTGGGAATCTCAATGACATTAATAGGTCAAAAGCAACTTTTCCCATCTTTTCTTGACTTACCTTACACCAGATGTCTTTGGTTACTTAGCACAAAAGCCACGCATCTGCACCATTGCAAAGTAAAGTACCGATGGTCTCTGTTGTGCTAAACCACTGAGGCAGGAGGCTGAGGGATGGGCAGAGGACTCTATTCTCTCAAGAAAGCGAGCACTGTTGAATCAGCTTTTCTGTAATACTGCAAATAGGTCATCAGAGATAAAATTAGGCTAGAAGTTGCCAAATATTTTTACATGATTTCTAATTTTGCCATCTTTCAGGTTTGCATTTCTTTTTCTGTAGGGTTTTTGGGATGTTTAATCATGCCGATGACAGAGAAACTGTATATGCCTGGTTCACATTCTCACACTGGCTTGTATATGCAAACAGTGCAGCCAATCCTATTATTTATAACTTCCTCAGTGGTAAGTTACAGTTACCTAGAATTCAAGTTTAACGTATAGTTTGAATGTAATGAGCCATAGCAAATAAGATTAATGACTCTGTAACATCAGCCCAGTTCCAGGTGGGAGCTAGATCCTCTTCTTGGAACAAGTTGCCTGAGGTATCCCATTACCTTCAGGCTATCTACCTATAATTAAAATAAACAGTGCCAGGGCCTGAGTCCAAGTGTTTGAATTTGACTGTCCATGTCGTTAATTTGGTAGAGAAGTCCCTGGCATGACTTTGGTATGAAACAATTACCGTTCCCCTAAACACTCCCCAGATACTGTCTGGGAGGTAGCACAGGCCAGGGGCTGTCCCCAGTTGGCATTTTATATGCAGGTATTGGGTTTTGGAGGCTGTGAGTGCTTGCATGACCAGACTGTGCCAACTAAGTTCAAGGCCAAAGAACCAGCCAGGATGCTGTTTACTTACTGGTATAGATTTGTCTTAGTTTGTCGTATTTGGCTAGAGACAGCAGAATCAGGACCTAAACTGGTGATACTACAGCTAAATACAGGGAGACAAAAATCTGTTGATCCTCACTACATGTTTCCCCACTGTAGTTTTTTTGTGGTGTGTAGCATGAAGATGATTTGAACAATTTACTCTGAGCCCCAAAAGCAGACTACTGGGCTGTCAAACACTTTGAATCTTCTTTTAAAATGTATTCAAGATGAAATACAAATTAGCCGTGCCCTCTCATTTCACATGTCAAGTAATGATTCAGTCATTTAAGCCTACCATCACTCAATTACTTGTTTTTGTTAGATATGTTATTAATCAACAGACTATTCATGACATGTTTTAATAAATCATTCTAGTTTGCCCATTCTGTCTAGCCAAGAATAATTCAGGTTTCATACCATACCTCACATATCTTCTTACAAAGGTTATATTTTTTCTGTCTTTCTCCAAGGTGTTGAAACTGTGATTTCCCACTTCTGCATTAGAAGAACATCTGGGTATTTTGGGTTAATTTTGCTTTAGATAGCTGCTTTTTTCTAATACATAAAGTTTGTTGAAACACGGTTTATATTACAGTTTTTTTAATGAGTGTCTTTTGTGTTTGACAGGGAAATTTAGAGAAGAATTTAAAGCAGCATTTTCTTGTTGCATCTTTGGCATTCGCAGTCACCATGATGAACGTCTCACCAGAGGTCGTGCCAGTACAGAGAGTCGGAAATCCTTGACCACCCAGATCAGCAATTTTGATAACATTTCAAAACTTTCAGAACATGTTGTATTGACCAACATAAACACAATTCCAGCAAATGGTACTATACCTATTACCCACTGGTAGTATATTTGTCCCTCTGTCTTTCGATGCTGTGGAAGTAAAACTTAATTGTGCATGCAACAATATTTGAATCTGAGAACAATGCAATGAGAGGAGGGTGTTTACAATTAGGAACTGACTATAAGAAAAGTAACTTACAAGAAATATTTTATAGAATATGCTACAACTTTGGTTACATATTGATGAAACAAAATTTCATCTCATTTATTCAAAAGTTGAGCTGCAATTGGGGAGAAGGTTAGGTAATCATATTTTATAAAAATGTTTTCTTCGGATCCCTACTTCCTTTAGACTCCTAAGTAAATAAAGAACAGGTACCTGAAAGTATGAAAATAATTTTCCCTGGAGTTGCAGTGTGTTTATGAACAGCTATATTCTACTCAAAGCTAATTCTCTGAAGTTGTGATCTATATTATAACCAATATTATAACCAAAATTGGGTGTACAGATTGAACTGAATGTCCTTGACCATTTCAAATGATCTGCTTACCATGCATTCTGGTTTGAGTTGGACTGATCAAATAAGAAATTCACATTAATTTCTTTTCTTGTGTTTTCTGTTCTTTTTCCTGTTGAGTGGGTTATTTTGTGTATTCAGGGACAGCTGGGAAAACACTTTTGATTTTACTCCAATACAGGTTGATAAACAAATTAACACACTCTGAAATGAAAGGCAGAAGTTGTTCAAGCTTTCCCAATTCTGAGTAAACACTGAAATGATTGTGCAATTCCCTAGCTTTGTGAATAGCTGGGAATGGCATATAATTTATTACTTGATATTTCTCATTACATTATATGTTATATCCCAGCAGGACTTTGCAAGGGACTGAAAGTACACTATTCATCCCTCCTATCCTAGGGATGTGCACATTGGTTGTCTAGAAGTTATCTCAGACACTATAGGCTAGGACTATATAAGCTATATATTGATAACAGAGAAATTGGTATCTCCAGGAACAGCTGATGTGTTCCTAAAATATATATATAAAAAGAATTTGTTAAATTACCTCTAAAGAAGTTTGTTATTTTCACTGACTATAGAGGCAAGGTTTTTTTTCTGGCATTCAGCTTGCTCTTTTCCAGTAGTGTTGCCATTCCCATATGCAGAGCACAAGCAAGGTTACAGCCATGAAATCCAGATGACAGTGTGGCTGTAAGACGATGTTTTACTCTATATCGATTATTTGTTATTACACTCTTCTCCCTGCCTGTCCTGTGCTCATGGTAGGGGTCTTGCACTAGATGATCTTTAAAGATCTCTTCCAACCCAAACCGTTCTATGATTCTATGATTGACTTGTACACAGGAAGCCGTAGTGTTTTGCTGGTCACACTCACATCTGGATAAGGTATCACAGGGCAATTTACCAAGTAATGCATATTAAATAAGTAGTAGAACACATTAAAGATGTTCAAGAGCAAGAAAATCAAGGTTTATGCATCAGAAATCCCCTTAGACATCAGTCAAGAAGTCTTCACTTAAAATTTGCAAGTGTAATTTGGAACATCTTCTGGCAGACCATTTTGTTAATAGTGCTTTTGTTAATAGACCATTTTGTTAATAATTCTCTACACAGTGTTCAGAGAGTGACAATCACAGCTTGAGCCAGTCAGCTACCTGATACAAACAGTAAAATCATCTTAAAATCTTTATTTTATCTTACAGGTATCCCAGCTACACTCAGCCCATTGAAATCAGTGGAATTGCATCTCCGCATACCAGGGATGAACGTGACTTCAAGTTTAGATGAAGCTGTGAGGGTTTCTGCAGAAGACACTGGCAACACAGAGAACGTAGAGTGGGACAAATTCGTCCCTAGCATAACTAAACTTACCTCAATGGAGTTACAGCAAGGATGACTTTGGTTCAATGCATGTAAGACGACCAGAGAATGGCACGTGCTTTTAGCTGTGTTACAGACTACAACAACTGGACAAAGGGATTCCTTCAAAATGACTGCCTCTCCTATTTCTTCTCAGTCTTACAGAAACCTACTTACCTCAGTATGAGCTAAAGAACATGTCTTTAGAAGTCTTTTTAAAGATTGGATTGTATCATACTTTGTAAATATTGTAGATATTTATTTTTATATATTTTAGATGCTGTGGAATGTTCCAAAATGTATCATATAAAGCACTGTAAGTATTTGAAAGACGTCTCAAACATAATTTATTTATATCCTGTTTCTATAAGTGAGTGACTTATTTACAAGGTATGCTTACTTATGCACTAATGATATTCTCAAATTACTTTGCACTTCTTTTTCTGCTAATTCACTTGTAGTAAATTCTACATTCATTTTGGAACTTTCACTTCAGATTGACTTGGGGAGATTCCAGGCTACTTTTCTAAGCACAGACATGCTTCTAAGATGGGAACGCAAACTGCTGCAAGTCACACGTGTTTTCATAAGATTACACTAAATAGCCAGTATTTTTTTCCTTCAGACTTGAGTGCCTAAAAAATAACTATTTAAATAAAACTTATGTCATGCTCAAAGGTGCTATAGGCTCAAAATTCCTACTCAGGCCAATAGGAATAACAAGTGTCAGCACCCCTGAAGGATAGGACATTTTAACTTTGGTAGCTCAATTTAGTCTATAATGTCTGCAAGTGTTGCTCCAGAAGATCTCTGAGGATCTTTAAAATAGAAATTATTGGTTATCTTGCTTGCTTTCACAATTTCTCTCTCAGCTGTTATTTAATACTAATGATACAAACAATTAACAGATTTATATGCCAAGAAAATATTGACTTTTCAATAATTAAAATAAAATGTTTCTTTCTGGAAATTATAGAGGTGATATCTCATTGGACCAGTAGATCAAGTGCTTACTTATCCATTTTCCATTTATGGGGTAAGCTCCCTGGCCTGGGGCTTCCCACCATGCATTGTAATTTTTCTTCTTAAAGAATGAAGGTGATGCATCACTGGAGCCATAGTCTACTAGGGAAACATGGCCTATTGGTTAGAAAGAGGCTAATCTAGAAGAACCTCAGCTCCATTCTCCCTGTGGCACTCCTCTTGCATTTCAGTCAAGATTTTTCAAAAGGAAGGGTGAGATGGGAGGGAGGACTTGTTTCTCAGTAAAAAGCATTTGACGCAAAAAGCAGACGTTCTCACACATTCAAATGTTTCTGAAAAGCAAATTATTCATAGGCAAGGTGTTATTTGATTAACTTATGTAAATATTTTTTCTAGGTTTTACTTTGACTGAATGACATGTGATGTACTGTCTATCATGACAGCTATAGTTTTATGAAGTGCTTAATCACTTTATGCTTTAACCTTCCCCAATAGCTGTTGACATTGTTGCAATTACTCCTAGTTTAGACTGGTGTAAAGTGAGAGACAAAATTTTCCATTTGTTTGTATATTAAAGTTTTCTTTTTCTATTAAAAAAGAAGGAGAATAGTCTTTTTCGATTAAAAAATAATGAGAAATACCTACATGAAAAGAATATTTAGACATCAAATAAAATCATAGGAATTCCCATATTCCTATATGTAAGCTTAATTTTTTAGTATAGCTGTTATGTCATTGTTATTTGAAGAAATTATTTTACTTCATCTCTTCTAAGAAAAGAAAACCCAAATAATTATAAGGAGTACAGCAGGATTTGATTTCATAGCTGTCATAATTTCTTTGCCATTATAAGGTTATTTGCACTCTTCAACCACAGAAAAAAGTAGTATTCTTACACTGTGTGGAACAAGATATAATTTTTCTATATAATTTAAAATGATTGGACAAACAGGTGCTGAATTAAAACATTACAGAAATGGGATAATAGTATTTGAAAAGTCTTTTATTTTTTTCTCTTTTTTTTAATATAAGTAAATAAAAAGTCAAAAAGTTAAAAACTAGTATAGTAATCTAGCTGCAAAATAACTATCGGTAATCATTTAATTGTGCCATAAAACATTACCTCAACCCACTGCTGAAAAATGTCAATTACATCAAAATTTTGCAAACCTATAATTTCATTTCAGAAAATGTATATTTAGCTTTTCTTCAAAGAGAAGGCAAGAATGTAGAAAGTAAATGTTTATTTAAGAAATTCTTGTCAGTATAAAAGGGGAGTATGTATACTTTTCAAACATAAAAAGTGACGAGTGACTGTGGAAGACCAGCAAAATTCTCATGCCTTGTCAGGTGTGGTGCCCAGATCCCTGTGAGATGAGCAGGGAGGGAAAGGGTACAGTATTTCTGACTTGGGAGAGCTAAGAACTAAAATAGCAATGTTAGTGATGCTCATGGAAAAAATATAAGTAGCATCTTTCTAAAGTGGGGCTGAATACCACCTGCTAACACAAATTATCTTCTTTTGCTGCTCCCTCTATGCCAGTGGGATAAATTGTGTTAGTTAATCTGAGGTAAGAACACCACTGAGGGTCACTGGCAGTTTTTGGCTCCTGCAGGTCTCTTATGAAATGTTAGAAGTGGAAGTTCTGGCTTAAATGTTTTCTTTTACAAGAGAAAAATTTATCTTTTGTTCTCTTTTCTTATTTTCACTTAGATCCCCACAATTAAAATATTCCAACATTCCTAGGAACTTCTTTTATCCGTAACTTAAACTTAACAGTACTTTTTGTGTGGAGAATATAAATAAAAGATGAGACATTCATTGACAAATTATTCTGAGTTCTTCTCTGGCCAGATTTTTTTTGAGTAGATAGCATATCTTTGAGACACAAGTGATATAATCAGAGTTTATCTAAGTTTTGAAGTTCTAAGGATAGGTAGAAACTATTAACTAATTCTTGCCAGAGAATATGTTTATCAAGCTAAAGATTCCTTAAATATGGTTATCAAGATAAAGTTTTGGTTATTTTGATGAAAAGATTTTTCATTCAAAAATTTCTGGGTTTTTAAAATAAATATTTTTGATGAAAATATTCATATGTTTTTATTTCTTTAGTTTTACAAAATTTGAGAAATACCTAGCCATTCTCTTCTTTAGCTCAGGTATGTTTTCAGAGGCACCATTTCATCAGAAAAACTCCATAAGCATTTAAAAATCTGTTGTCTACCTGTGTAAATTCGTGAGGGGTTTTTGTCAGTTCTAGGATCTTTTACTCCAGAACGAGCCAAATACTTGGACACATTCCAAATATTATCCAGATGGATTTATTTTTGAATGAAAATAATCACTGGGAGTTTTCAGTAGCAATAAACCCAATAGTGAGCAGTGGCTATTAATGGAGATAGATATGGCTGTTAGAAGACAGGGTAAGATTTTAAGAGCAATATAGAATCTAATGCCTTTTGCATGTGACAAATTGAAACATCTTAAAGAATCTTAATGTGCTTCTTATCTGTCAAAAAAGGTCTGGTGAAGAATGGGCATTTCTCATCCAGTCTATAAATATTGAAAATTATCTGAAAGCTGGTAAATTAAAACTGAGCTTTAATCAGGTTTTGTTACCTCTAGCTGCTTTGGTATTCTAATATTTCCACTAGCAACTCAGGAGCATAGAAATGAGGTTCTCATGCCATTGTTTCTGCTTGGTCATAGCATCATTAGACATAAAGTTTAAGTCACAACATATTTGTTGCTGCATACATAAACCATTGTGCCACCATTATTCTGGTATTTTGCTTCTCAACATATTTCACCATCTTAAAGGTCTGATATCCTGACTGCCCTCTCGTCCTTCTCTTTTCCTGTTGTCACTGCAGCGATAAGCTTGTACCCAGCAGTCACAGTGACTGCAAGATAATTTCACCCCCTCTCCACCTCAAAAAAGGCTTTTTTTTTATTTTATTTTTATTTTGGACTGCATAGAGGGCCCTATCTTATTCTTTGATACTAGAAAAACTGATGCATGTCATTAACCTGGAGAGTGCATTATAAGAAGGAGAGTACATTAAACACTAGCTTAACTCAGCCCTCATTCATTTCTCAGGCTATTCCTTTTACCTGACAAAAAGTTTTTTTCTGGCTGTTGGATATATTGGATAAAATAATAGTTTATTTTATTCAATACACTTCCCCCCCCAAAAAAACCCACCAAACCGCCAAGTATTTAGCAATGCTGGCATTAAAAATTTAAATATAGAATGTAGTAAATTAACTAAGTTAAAATCTGAGTTAAAAAAAAAAAAAGAAATTATATACAAGGTTGAATTTTCCTGAGCTAAACAAAACATAAGCAAAATTTGGACTTGGCTTAGGTTTTCCTTCGCCAATGAGGATCTGATTTCACCTACTGTATCTCTATCTCTGCTAGCTATGCTGGAAGTTTTATGATGCCTTTTTGTTTTAAGCATTCAAGGACCAAATCCAATTTAAAAAGTTCTGTATGGGATAAGCAACTTGTGAAAACAAGACTCACGACTAGCATGGAGGAATCAATAGGGATCGGTTGTTTCCTCCTGCTTCCAGTGCAAAAGCAAAGAGCATCCAGTGAAGCCAGCAGGTGTATGCTTGTATGATTTATAGTGTATTATTTCTTTTTTATTAAGTACCTAAGTCAGCTTTGACTTTTGTACGGCAAACTGTTTTTTGATGTATTTTAGGGAAGTTAGACCCATAGTCCAGAGCAAAATGTATCAAAATGCTTACGGAGGATGATCAGACATAGCAACAGGCAATTTCCGGAGAGGTTATAGGCAGCAGCCAAAGACTTCTTCTGTTAGTTTCTCTGGAAATCAAGTGAATGCAGACGGAGTGCCGGGCTGCGTGAAAAACGCCCAAGAACCACGTCTCGTCTAGACGCAGTCCAGCTGAGCGATTAGGGTGAAAAGAGGGTGTAACTGGGCAGCAAAGGATGGCCGCGGGCGTGGGGGGCGAGGGGGGAAGCGTCATCGGCTGCTCCTGGCCGAAAGAGGTGGGCAGGGGAAGGTACACGGTGGACACCGCAGGGCGACGGACCTGCCCCCTCCCGCCCTTCGCCCATACCCACG